CCAAATCCAAACTACTATAACAGGCCAACAACATACTAGCAACCTATTACGCCAGCATGTTACAGGTGGATGGTTAGTTGGATGGACAGGTAGATAGGCAGACAAACGTACGAACAGACAGACAGATAAGACTCATTTATGAGGGCTGAAACAGCACGCCACCAATAACCATGAAAAAGACTCCTGTATTGAACTTACCTAGAAATCTGACCTCACAACTGTGCTGACGTAAGAACTGGCCTCTCAAATGAACTCTGACCTTGTAGACACCAAGGTCAGCTTCAGCTGTGGACACACGTACCAAATGTAAGCGGTGTATTCAAATCGTCTAGCAATTTAGAGTTATGTATATGTGTGTTTATTCGGGCATTCACTTGTAAGTGTCGTATGTGGCTCGGTGGAAGGGAAGAGGAGAAAAGGCAGACCAAGAAATACCTGGATATAAAACGTGGGTTGATGGCTGTCCTTAAGCATAAAAACAGAGGGGTCTGGACAGACAGTCAACAACTGGTTAGCCATCGGTGTTGTGGGATGTGATGAGGATGATGATGATGTCGTGTGTAGTTCGTCGTGAAGCGAGCTACTCTGTGCAGTGCCGTAGAACAGCACACCCAAGTCTGTAGGACACGATCCCTGTCGGCCTTAAACACATCCGGATAATATCTGGTGTAACTGTTAGTACTTAAGAGGTACCAATATTAATACGAGGTTGAAAGTGTGTTCCTAGAGTGTGTCCTTTTCGATTGCCATTCAGAATGCTACTGTGAGTGGCAGGGTGGTCACACCTTCAGGCACTGGCTTTGAAGGGCAGCCTAAAATGGGTTCCGTGTGATAAATTTACTTAACCAGTGTCGACTGGTCAATCAAAAACAAGAATCTAGCACTAGATGCGCAATGCGACAGTGGCGTAACAAGATGCTTTGTTTTACTTTCTTATTTAACTATGGGGAAGCCGCCGTGGTGTAGTGGCTTAAACTCGCCTGCGGATCCCAAGATATTAGGTTCAAGTTTCGACTGTGCTATGCTTTAAAAAAATCTAAAAATTACCCTGACTCCCAGGTCGACACATCCTTATATGGGTAACAGGTATGTCATGGGAAGGAAAGGCAACCGGCGTGATACCAAATTTATAATGCACCAAGTGCCGATTGATCCATAAAATATGGGTCTATCTCTAACTGCCCAATTCACCTAAAGGCACGGAAAAGGTTACTTTACTCCCCCCCCTTCCAGAACGGAACTATGTAGATGGTTATGAACAATTCTGATTAAAAACAAAAACAAAATGCTAATATCACCTCAGATTGTCTCTAATGTGTACATGTACTCACCCCATAGAGTCAGTTACAGTATTTTCGAAATAAAAATGATGAGTACAAAGAGTGCTGATACTGTGACCTGTAACTAAACGCTAGGACAAAAAACAACAACACACACCTCATGATGATGATCTAAAAAGTCACGAAACAAGATAACAAAGGACGTGAGACAAGAAGGTCTTAGCTCCTCAGAAAACAAACTGCAGATCTGTGCACATACTAGGCTGGTCAATGATAAGACTCCCATTGGTGGAAACTGTGAACCGGTGGCTGTCTTTGAGTTGCCACACGGGAGTGTCCCCTTTGAGCCAGCTTGTGTTGTAATGATCCAGTCGGTTGCCATTGGAAAGAGAGATCGTGCAGGCCATCTCTGCGCTGCGCTGGCCAGTCACAAGTACAGGCTCGGACTTTTCTTCTGAGAACGAAACCAAAACAAAGTGGATACTTACGCGCCGACACCAAGAAAGCATTGACGGAAAACAAAACTGTCATTACCGCCTTTATTTGACAGTGTGGTGTAGGTGTGTGTGCGCGCGCGCGTATGTGTGTAAGGGGTTGGGGGGGGGGGGGAATCTTTGAGCCTGATTCAGGGCCACCTCCAATAATCTACGAATTATACCAATTAATTTACTAATTAATACATATATGCAGTATTAAATAACCAAAAGAAATGGACAAGCATAAATATCCATTATTAAAGAAAAACTCGGCATATCTCAATTATAATCGACAATAGTTGAATATGATATTGTTGATTTGGTTTCTACTGCTGGTGAACCCGATTCGCTTTAGAAAATCAGAAATGGACCAGCCAAATATTTTGTTATTCCTTACGTCCTTCTTAGGACGTTATTTTTTGTTATTTGAAGCCCCACTCTGGCTTTTGCCAGGGGCCGCAATATAGGCAGGTCATCATTATGGCCAAATGTCTGAACGCGGTTTCTGGGACCTCTCCACGGTGATCCTCATCCGCATGGTGGCACTTTGTGCCATCGGGTGTTTATCGCTTGTGTGATGTCCTGGTGGGGTAGAAAGTCAGTCAGTCAGTCAGTCAGCCAAATATGAATTGGGTTATCCACACGGAACTACAAGCCACCAAGAGGTATTTTTTTCCTGTTAAGTAATTTATCTTTAACACGAATAGCTCCACCTGTTATTGTTATATTGACAGAAGTGTGGCTAACAGCGAGTACACAGACAGTCAGCCATTGCAAGGAAAGAAACTCTGTGGAGGAGAACTACGTCCGGTCTGTTGTGGATGTTTTAGGTGCAACGTTAGAAATGCCCCAGTTTAATTTAATTTTTCCATTGTATGGTCTCTTTTAAAAGGAGGACGGCCATAGCAATGCAAAGATTAAACAGCCTTAAAAGTCTATGGTTTGCGAGGAGAAAGGTTTTTTTTTTTTTTTTTTTTTCTTTTTTTTTTTTTTTTTTCCAGTTTAAGAAGGTTTTTTCCCTTTTTTTTTCTTTTTTTTTTTTTTTTTGTTTTTTTGTTTTCCCTGTTAAGTAATTTATCTTTTAACACGATAGCTCCACCCTGTTATTGTTAATTGACAGGATAAGAAAGAAACAAAAAAAAAGAAAAAAAAGAAATGTGCTAAACCAAAGCGAGTACACACAGACAGTCCGAAGCCCATTGCAACTGAAGGAAACTCCTGTACGGCATCTTTGTATGGAGAAGGGGTGAAAACATTTCACGGTGACGTCCGGTCTGTTGTGGATGTTTTAGGTGTCAGCGTACTATAGAAAGATTCTCGGAATATCTTGGACAAAGAAGAGAAGAAATGCTATCTTGAAAAATCTTAACATCAGGGAAGATTGGCCAATAAACAGCATTCTGTCTGAAGCTGAACTATTTTGGTCAGATGAAGTGCCACGACGGATTTTAAAAACATTATAGCAAAAGGCATGGTACCAGGAACCATTTGAGGCCGTTAAATATTATGAATTAATCAAGTAACAGAAAGTATTATGAACGGCACTCATAGAAAGAATTAGAAAGACAGAAGAACACACTAGACAACATAAAAATCATGGCGAGGCGCAGACGCCGTCTGGAGTTGACAGGTTCGATTCCCGGCACGGTAACTATAGCTTTCGATTTTTATGTTGTCTAGTGTGTTCTTCTGTCTTTCTAATTCTTGATTAATTCATGGCACCAGGAAGGAGGGGCAGGGACCGACCGATACGAAGATGGGCACAGGAAATAAGTGACTACTTGAGTGTGAAAGTTCATGAGACGGGAGAACTAGCGAGAGATCGAGTTTCTTTCAGGCAGACCGAGATGAGAGTGACGTTCTGCAAATGACCTGCTACATGATCATGATGATGATGATGGTCTCCTTTAAAGTGCTTTTCATCATCATCATCAACAAGTGCCTTGCTGACTGACCTAGGCGATGATGTCTCTCCCTAATCTGTGATCTCCAACAGCATGTATCGGTTCATGTGTTGACATCCCTCCACGATACGACAAAAAACTGTCAAGAACCTATTCGCTTTGTCTTTGTATTTTTTTTAAACCACAGATCTTTCCAGTGGTCACAGTATCATTTGTTTTCATAACATGACCACAGAATGAGGATTGTCTGTCCCTGATGTTAATTATAAATTGTCTTAGAGCCTTTACCTCTTTTATGTATAAAAGAGGAGAAGGCTCTAAAACAATTTATCATAAACATCAGGGAAAGACAATAGAATCCTCTGTAAAACCACTTCTCCGAGGTCTCCAAACATGTTTTTTTTTTTCATTCAGGACTCACAAAGTACTTTTGATATGAAAACAACAAACAAAAAAACCAACAACAACTTGAAATAATAATTCACCATAAATGAAGAAATAATACTTTACAATTTGGACCCAGTTTAACCGAAAATCCTTATGCGGCTGAATGGGGTTTCTGGGACTCGTATCCCAGTGCTTGTCATCCAGATGATGGCACTTTGTGTTATCGGATGTTTATCCCTTGTTGTGGGGTTTAACTTCACTAATCTATTCATGAATAATTAGGAAATCTCAATTGATGCATAACACGCTTGATGTTGTAAAGGTCTTTCGGTAGCGAGTGAACAGTGTTGAGGAACAACTAATAGGTCACCGCGGTCTGAGCAGAATGGTGATTGGAACTCTGTGCTTGCTACTGAAGATGGGGACAAAGCGCTTATGCGAATGTCCCGAGTGTTGTGATGCCCATTCTCAATTTCACATTTTAAATCATGTTACGAGAAAAGGGAAACTGGAACATGTTGTGACCACTGAAGAGATCTGTGGAAAGAGACAGAGGAAGACAGTACGAGACTTCTTCTCCTTCTTCTGCGTTCGACATCAGTCATGCTAAACATTGAGTCCCGTCTGGGTCAAAAATAGGATTGTGCGTTTAAGGTCGCTAGACAATTCTTGACAGCCCTTTATCATGGCATGAAAGGGTGTCAGCACACGAACTGGCACACGCAGCTGTAGATCGAAGATTGTGGAAAAGCATGATTGACCACGCCAGTCGGCAATGCACTTGATTAAATGATGAAAATTTATTCGGTCGAATCTAATCCAGGTTAAGACGAATGTGACCTTTGACCCCTGTTTTTACCTTGACCCTGTGAAGGCAGCCGGTGTATCGCAAGGACGAGACAGAAGTCGTCTGATCAGCTGCAACACAGTCCACGACTTCAACAATCCCAACCATGGCATCCAGACAGTTTCTCACCAAAGATCCCGCCTGGATCAAGTTAAAGAATTACTATGATGCTAACGGCAAGAATATTAACATGTTAAACTTGTTCAAAGAGGACCCAGATCGATTCAAGAAGTATAGGTACGTAAAGTAACACAACACCAGCAAAGAGTTCCGTCAGTCTGCCATTAATTCAATATCATCGGGTTCGCTGTCCTGGTTCAGTTAATACATTCAAATACTGCCGGTACACTTATGTAAAAACAAACAAACAAGAGGAGACCGCTAAATGGTTCCTTTTTGTACATTATAAATCATTGATTAATCATGAGGTACTTAACTAGTTAGTCGACAGAGGTTGACGGCGAAGGTATAGTAGTTTCCTGAGTTGACCTACAGATCAACTCCTTCGATTTTCCCCAACAATGGCAACATTTTATGGCGGCCAAACAAATACCCTAACAGGGCCTCAGTCCTATGAAAAATGCGGAGTTCCTGCCGAGGAACAAAGCGCAGCAAAACTAGGATAGGCTCCGAACAACGGGCCAATATCATTGAGGGCAAACAAAAGCTCGGCTCTCCTCCGAACTTCTACCCTATATTATAGCGGCCAAACTAACTAGTTAGTCGACAGAGGTTGACGGCGAAGGTATAGTTTCCTGAGTTGACCTACAGATCAACTCCTTCAATTTTCCCCAACAATGGCAACATATTATAGTGGCCAAACAAATACCCTAACAGGGCCTCAGTCCTTTGCAGAATGCGGACTTCCTGCGACGACCGTTCCAGAAACAGCATCAGTGATAGTGGATCTTATGGGCATTGCAAAATCCTACATTAAGATTTCATGAAGCCACTTTATATAATTTGGAACCGCCATGGTGTAGATGCTCACCTCAGGCTGGAAGGTTGTAGGTTCATACCTGCATCAAGCTGGATTTGTTCACAATAACATTGGCTGCCAAGTCGACCCAGCCTGAAGTTGGTGTCAGGTAAATTCCTGGAAAGTAAAGGTGGCCGGCATGATGTTGACCGTATGACCCATTGAGTGCCAGTTGGCCTATATAATATAGGCCTAGTACTGTATGCAGACAACATAGATCTTTATAAGTACACACATCAGGAGAAGTTATCTATTCATCACAAGCACTACATCTCAGAAGATCAGTTACTAGAGCAAGAGGACATCTGCATGTGGAAAATATAGATCAACAACATTAAAGACACTCTACGCCTTCACAGTGGACAGTGGCAGCCAATGTGCAATGGATCATAAATTATTTCTCCCACACGTCAGAAGTGGTTTATGATGATGACTGTATACACATTACGGGTGTGGAAAAGGGTCGTTTATTTTAGTTGAAAAAATTATTTCTGTCACTCGGAAGATTAAAGTGCACTGCTAGTGCATGTCATATAGGTCACTCGGAAGATTAAAATGCACTGCTAGTGCATGTCATATAGGTCACTCGGAAGATTAAAGTGCACTGCTTGTGCATGTCATATAGGTCACTCGGAAGATTAAAGTGCACTGCTTGTGCATGTCATATAGGTCACTCGGAAGATTAAAGTGCACTGCTAGTGCATGTCATATAGGAAATGGGCACTTCTACTGTATCCATATTTATATATTCCTTTCCATATTATACTGTTTGTGTAAGACGTAAGCATAATTATTTATCTAATAGCCTGCCTTCTTATTGTACATACATTTTGCTTTTACCAATTTGACAGTGTTGTGCTTCAGGGAAGGGATGGTGCAATCTTGGTGGACTATTCCAAAAACTTGATCAATGCTGAAGTATTTGGATATCTAGTGGATTTGGTAAGAATGCATCTACATTGGACATTATCTTTTGTCTTTTATCTACCCTGATGAAGTTAAATGAGATGAATTTAAGACAGGTGAAGAGATCAGAGCAGTGTGTAGGTAACAGCTTGTAGTAACAGATAACAGTTATAGAAGATAGAGCTGTGTTGGGCACATCTTGAGAAGAAGCCAGCCGAGAATCACCAAACAGGCAGTAAAACAGCATCTGAGAGGAACTCCAAAATAAATGCTAATAAAAGAGGTCAAAGGTGCTGGACTGGATTCCATCCTTGACCTCAGAATGACTTGTGCCAAAGGGCGAAAGCTCATGCTCCGCTGGATCGATAACAACAACAACCACCTCAGAATGACTGAGCCAGATAGAATGGAATAGAATAGACTGCAAACCCTATGAGACATACAGTGGTAGAACAGGGTGCAGGTAACACTCAGTGAATGTTGTGGTGAGTGTGCTGGTAACACTCAGTGAATGTTGTGGTCAGTGTGCTGGTAACACTCAGTGAATGTTGTGGTCAGTGTGCTGGTAACACTCAGTGAATGTTGTGGTGAGTGTCACGTTAGCTGCCTTTGCTTTATCTCCATGCTACCCACTTTAGTCTGAGATGACATGGAAGCAGATTTTTCAACTTCCTGCCTCAGTGGGGACGTTGTCTTACTACGTACATACTTTCTAGCACGTAGGCTTGCTAGTCGCCATGTTTTCGCTCCTATCAGTGCATGTTCTGCAGTGCAGTCATCAAAGAAAATACTTCAGACAGTTTTAGATATGAATTTAAAAAGCTTTATATGCTTATTTGTAATGTTAGAACTCTCCTTATTGCATGCACACACTAAAAACAGATACACTAAAGCATTTACCGATATATATGGGTGAAACAACTGAACTAGTAGGATGTTTTTATGACTTGGACTAATTATCTGCAGATCAAATCCACTAAAGTGCCAGAGATGAGGGATGCCATGTTTTCTGGGGAGAAAATTAACTTCACAGAAAACCGATCTGTTCTCCATATTGCTTTACGAAACAGGAGCAACACTCCGATCCTAGTGGACGGACAAGATGTAAGTCAACTATTGAGACTAGTCATTGTTTTTTTTTTCTTCTTGAAATTGTATATTGACATTTGAATTGTGAATGAGGACCATGTCTTTCCTTTCCCAAATATTATAATGTGCCTAATTGTGTGTGTGGGTGCATACACAATCTGAAAGTTAAATAGTTAGACTGATTTTATTCTGGCCAAAACAAAAATGCCTGCCATCCAGAAGCAAACCATGTCATCCAAACAGGCACCATTCATACGTGATCTAATAAACTAATAACCTCAAGCAGTCTGCAGATGACAGGTAACCTTCACCCCCCTTTTTAGCTAGGATATATAAGATTATAGATCAGACTGGGGCTGATTTAGGGACTTCTCCTGACCCAGTATCAAAATACCATCTTCACAGAGACTGTCTTACAGTTAACTTCTTCCCCTCTCCATGTTCTGCAAGGGTGTAAGACTGGTACTGGAGCATCGGATCTTACGAGATTCCCCCATGGGAGTTCCTGAGTCCTATTTTGGGAAAAGAAGAAAAGATCCATTTCTTCCTAACAAGCATGTCATCAAATTAGGTGTGTTTCAGAGGTGAGGAACCAACAGTCTGCATAAAATAAATAAGCCAGATCTATAAAACAAATTTGCATACTTTGGAGTTTACAGCCTGTGGGTTTGAAGAAGACGAAGAAGAAGAAGAAAAATAGAATAAGAAGAAAAAAAAAGAAGAAGAAGATATCTTGGGAGAGACATATCTAGTTGTTGATCATCATCATGTAGCAGATCTTTTGAAGAATGTCATTCTAACTATGGCCACTAGGAAGATTCTCATTTCCTGCCTCATGTATATTCATACCCTAGATATATCCTCAATGTTCGGTGATCTGTTGGGCTGGTTGACTCCTGCCTCATGTATATTCATACCCTAGATATATCCTCAATGTTCGGTGATCTATTGGGCTGGTTGACTCCTGCCTCATGTATATTCATACCCTAGATATATCCTCAATGTTCGGTGATCTATTGGGCTGGTTGACTCCTGCCTCATGTATATTCATACCCTAGATATATCCTCAATGTTCGGTGATCTATTGGGCTGGTTGACTCCTGCCTCATGTATATTCATACCCTAGATATATCCTCAATGTTCGGTGATCTATTGGGCTGGTTGACTCCTGCCTCATGCATGTTTATATCCTAGATATATCCTCAATGTCCGGTGCCCCATTGTGTTGATTGATTTACGTATTTAATTGACAATGATTCATTTTTTGCTGCTTTATTGTTTGTTGATGTAACCCTGTAGTATCAGCGTCTGTGGCCTAGGCGTGGCAAACACACTTTGTATTGCCAGGATGCCGGGTTCAATCTTAGCTGCAGACAATTTGTCTTGTGTTGGTTTCAGCAATGGTACCAAGAGCTAACTGTTCAGGAAGCAGAGGCAAACTACCGAACATAAAAATTTGCCTAGAAAGACAAGAATAGCTGTGTAATGCTGGGGTTGGTTCTGCAACGTCTTGTAAAGGATAAACAGCTAACCTAAGTCTGTAGTAACACACCTGACCAGATACAGCAAAATATACCAGGCAATAAATTGTGTAATGTTTTATTTGTGTCTGGATTACCTAAATATATTAAGCTGTTTTGTTTTGCAGTTATTTATTCTGTTGTTATGGGGTCATAATTCATCACAGGACGTACAAACTTGCAAGACTTGTATATTCTTAGGTGATGCCTCTTGTCAATGGAGTTTTAGCACACATGCGCACATTCACAGAACAGGTACGCAGTGGAGCCTGGAAAGGTTACACTGGGAAGGCAATCACAGACTGCGTCAACATCGGTATTGGTGGATCTGACTTGGTAAGGGTGGCATGCTTCACTTCCAGCTCATCTAAAGCCAAACCAGAACTATTGTATGTTGTATATTCAGTCAAAATATTTAGAAAACTATAATAGTTGTCTTGTTACAAACATGTATTAACTGGTGCCTGCGCAGATTAGAAGGAATTAAATAGTATGACAGAATCAGTAATTGAGAGCTTTGGAAGAGAGGTAAATTCCAGTGATCAAGAGGTGAGGAAAAAGATGCTGATGGATAGGACACACTGAAAAAACACCTGATAATGATTTCTGTAAAACTTTTCTGCTTGTATGAAGTTTGCTGATTATGTGAATTACTAACTGCAGTTAATAAACAGAATACATAAAATGCAATTCCTGTGAGGAAAATGAGTGGTCTGAAGGGCAAAATGTGAAAGGGGCCTGCACGCTAATTTTGAGATCCTCTGAAAATAAAATTCATTCATTCTTTTGTTGGTTCGGGCGAATAGGAGAAGAGAAGGAGAATTTCCATTCATTTATGAATATTGCACATTTCAGAAGTAAAGTTTGGGTAGAGATGTGCCAACCAGGCTGATGTGTTCATGTTTCATGAGATGTGCCAACCAAGCTGATGTGTTCATGTTTCATGAAATGTGCAGATCCAAGCTGATGTGTTCATGTTTCATGAGATGTGCCCACCAGGCTGATGTGTTCATGTTTCAGTAGATGTGCCAACCAGGCTTATGTGTTCATGTTTCAGTAGATGTGTCAACCAGGCTGATGTGTTCATGTTTCAGTAGATGTGCCAACCAGGCTTATGTGTTCATGTTTCAGTAGATGTGCCAACCAGGCTGATGTGTTCATGTTTCAGTAGATGTGCCAACCAGGCTGATGTGTTCATGTTTCAGTAGATGTGCCAACCAGGCTGATGTGTCCATGTTTCATGTGCACCAGGCTGATGTGTTCCATGAGATGTGCCAACCAGGCTGATGTGTTCATGTTTCAGTAGATGTGCCAACCAGGCTTATGTGTTCATGTTTCAGTAGATGTGCCAACCAGGCTGATGTGTTCATGTTTCAGTAGATGTGTCAACCAGACTGATGTGTTCATGTTTCATGTTTCAGTAGATGTGCCAACCAGGCTTATGTGTTCATGTTTCATGAGATATGCCAACCAGGCTGATGTGTTCATGTTTCAGTAGATGTGTCAACCAGGCTGATGTGTTCATGTTTCATGTTTCAGTAGATGTGCCAACCAGGCTGATGTGTTCATGTTTCAGTAGATGTGTCAACCAGGCTGATGTGTTCATGTTTCATGAGATGTGCCAACCAGGCTTATGTGTTCATGTTTCATGAGATGTGCCAACCAGGCTGATGTGTTCATGTTTCAATAGATGTGTCAACCAGGCTGATTTGTTCATGTTTCATGAGATGTGCCAACCAGGCTGATGTGTTCATGTTTCATGAGATGTGTCAACCAGGCTGATGTGTTCATGTTTCAGTAGATGTGCCAACCAGGCTGATGTGTTCATGTTTCATGAGATGTGCCAACCAAGCTGATGTGTTCATGTTTCATGAAATGTGCAGATCCAAGCTGATGTGTTCATGTTTCATGAGATGTGCCCACCAGGCTTATGTGTTCATGTTTCAGTAGATGTGCCAACCAGGCTGATGTGTTCATGTTTCAGTAGATGTGTCAACCAGGCTGATGTGTTTATGTTTCAGTAGATGTGCCAACCAGGCTGATGTGTTTATGTTTCAGTAGATGTGTCAACCAGGCTGATGTGTTCATGTTTCATGAGATGTGCCAACCAGGCTTATGTGTTCATGTTTCATGAGATGTGCCAACCAGGCTGATGTGTTCATGTTTCAATAGATGTGTCAACCAGGCTGATTTGTTCATGTTTCATGAGATGTGCCAACCAGGCTGAAGTGTTCATGTTTCATGAGATGTGTCAACCAGGCTGATGTGTTCATGTTTCAGTAGATGTGCCAACCAGGCTGATGTGTTCATGTTTCAGTAGATGTGTCAACCAGGCTGATGTGTTCTTGTTTCATGAGATGTGCCAACCAGGCTGATGTGTTCATGTTTCATGAGATGTTTCAGCCAGGCTGATGTGTTCATGTTTCAGTAGATGTGCCAACCAGGCTGATGTGTTCATGTTTCATGAGATGTGTCAACCAGGCTGATGTGTTGATATTTCAGGGCCCTGTGATGGTCACAGAAGCCTTGAAGAAATACCAGTGTGGCCCCACCGCCCATTTTGTCTCCAATGTTGATGGAACTCATATTGCTGAGACTTTAAAGACTCTGAATCCAGAGACCACTCTGTTTATCATAGCATCTAAAGTAAGTATCATCATCATCAAGAGCCATCTCCACACTGAAGGAGTTCGTGAATGAAATTACTAATACTCTCCATTCTGCATTTCTGTTGAGCAGTCATAAAGGCCTCTTGCAGTCAATTTCTTGTTTATCCACATGAAACATTCTATTCTTCTTTCATGCTTCCATGTATTTTTTTTTCAACAAACTCCTTGACTCTTTTGTCGCAAATATTTCTTTATTGAACTCCTCTTGTCCTAAACATTTGTTGCTGGAAGTCAGATGTGTTTGTGTTGAAGGGATCTACATAGGACCTGAAGCAACAGTTGGGTTAAGGCTGTAGCTAGATGCCAGACAGGGAGCTCAGGAGAGAACAGCATGCTAGAAAACTCCCAATAAACTCCCAGTTGGTACTGATGGAGTTGACAGGCTTGACCTCTGACCCATACATCTAGGAAATGGATCTGCATGGAGTCAAGAGATTTGATAAATGACCTTGGCTTGCAAATGGAACCTCAAATGGGTGGCTAGGAATGTCTTGGGAAGTAAAAGTGACTTCTGTGGTGATCACGCCCACTGAGCGCTGATTGGGCTATAAAAACATGGCTTTTGCACCGTATGTCTGATGTGCCACTGGATGTAACAAGTGTCTTTGACCTACATATCCCTAAAACAAGGTGCTGTATCTCATGTAAGCAGTAGTAAGTGATGAGTAGAACTTACTTATAATGTATTTTTAAGGGAAGTGGAAGGAATAGTAATTTTTGGAGTTGTTACAGTGCACTCTGAGGGAGAAAGTAAAGATAGAGTGAACAGTGGATAGGAGAATGTAACATTTGTTGCACTAGTCATTACATTCTATACTTATGCTCATCATATTAACTGTATTCTTGTTTTTATTATTTGTGTGTGTGGTAAAGAGTCTTCTGTGCACATTCTCAGCAGTTGATCCAGTATCCTTTCAACTGTCATACACAGAAACACCTCAATACATTCAACAAATTCCACAGCACGCCAAGGATCTAATTGTATGAATTCCAGAATAACCAATTCTATAAATATTCTATTATGTGTAGATTTTCTAATTTTAATAATTAACCGGGGCAGCAGCTGATTCCTCGTTCTGTCCTTTTCGATTCCCAATTGCCAGATTTTTAACCTACACCCAGATCATCTTGTTTTTATGCCCTTGTCTGGGAATGTTAAATATTGGATTAACCACTTTAGGATTCGCAGAAGATACACAATTGTTTTGTGTGTGCAAAAGTTCATGCTGGCCATAGCATGACTTAAAACCTGGTCTGAAAATGACATCTGATGACTGGGGGGTTTCCTCTGAAAATGACATCTGATGATTGGGTTTTTTCTCTGAAAATGACATCTGATGACTGGGGGTTTCCTCTGAAAATGACATCTGATGATTGGGTTTTTTCTCTGAAAATGACATCTGATGACTGGGGGTTTCCTCTGAAAATGACATATGACGACTGGGTGTTTCCTCTGAAGTCAGAGTGCATCTGCTGTAGAGGAAAGGAAACAACAGTCTGCATATAAATACGCCAGATCTGTAGTACTGATGTGCACACAAAGTCAGAAGTGGACAAACAGCCAGAACTTTCTGTCAGAGTTTACATTCAGTGAATGCTAAAAATAAGAAGGAAAAGTTTGTGTTGATTATGTTGTTACTTTCCAGCTGTTCAAGCTTTCCACTGACATCTTTCTGTCCGCCTTGACATCCCAAGTATTTCCCCACACATTGGTAATTTCTCAACTTCCACCTCTTCTGCTGGTATGCCCCATAACATCCAAAACACCCTTCCCTGTGGTTTTAGTGAGTCTACTGTAAATATCTGACAGTGTTGCTCTTGTTTCAGACTTTCACCACCCAGGAGACTATCACCAATGCAATATCAGCTAAAAAGTGGTTTTTGGGCCATGCAAAGAATGTGAGTCAAACTTGTTGCTTTTGTTTTCTAGACCTGATTGTAGATATAACTGTGCTTTATTAATATCTTACCCCGAACTGAAAATCCACAGGTCACGGAACAGTCTAATATTTCAGGGAGTGGTAGATAGGCTGCATGCAGCCATGGGACCTAGGCTGCATACAGTTGTGGGACCTAGGCTGCACTCTCTCATTGGACATAGGTGGGTTAGGTTTTGGGGCAGTTCTAGATGTTTTGGGGTCGTTAAAAGCATCAGAAAGCCGGGAAACCCAATCTTACCACCCTCTAAAATGTTGGACTGTCCTGTGGTGTCATCTGGGGTAGGATATTAACAAAGAACTAAAATAACTTCTTTAGTTGAACTTTGTGGAATTCATAAATTTAATTTTGTTTTGTTACAGTTTCAGTTTCTTCTCCTTCATGCACATATACATGATTGCCACACTCTTAACTCCGCTCACATTCACTAATCTACTCACTCTCTCAGTACTGAGTCAGCCACTTCTTCACTAATCTACTCACTCTCTCAGTACTGAGTCAGCCACTTCTTCACTAATCTACTCACTCTCTCAGTACTGAGTCAGCCACTCAACTAATCTACTCATGCACTCAGTCAGTCAGTCACTCACACACCTCCCTTCAGCGGCATCTTAAGACCATTCAGTATTGCGACTCACAGAGCATGCTTAAGAAAATTGAAACTGGTGTCCTGCACACAGTGGCTTGCATCACTTGACAAGACCCAGATCAAGAGTGTGTCCAGGATTCTCTGTCCAGGATATTCAGGTGTGCAAGGTAATGAGCAATCATTAGATTAGCTTCTGCCGCACACCTGGTGGTGAGCTACTGTGTGGTAAAGGCTCGATGGGAACAAAGAATAGAGCAAAAGAACAGATAGGGAATCAATACAATGAAAGACTCATTTATCTGGTTGTAAGTAGAGATTCTGGAAAATATTCATAATTGAAGGGGAAACAGAGGCAGACCTGTAATCAGGTTGCAACCGATATTATTAGCATGTTGACTCTTCGTGGACTACTGAAGAAGGAGATGGAACACCTTTGGGAATATCCCTAGTGCAGTGGCGTATGTTTTTGATTCAATCATCAGTTAAAAAATTACATGTAGATAAATGAATTGTTGAAATGTAGAACCCATTGTCTTGCAAATGTAAATTTCAGAGATAAAAATAGCGTGGAAATAATCAAACGACAGTTATATCAGCAGCTGTCTATGATTTCCTAGTTTATCATTTAAAGATGTTACAAGACACTGCAATGACAGCATTTAATGTTCCATAAAATAGCAGTACTGTTGATACAATATCTAGTTGTGTGGAATCCTGTCTCGGAAGCTGAAATATTTTAGTCATATCAAGCACCATAGCGGATTGGAAAAATAATAGGCAAAGAAACGGTACCAGGAAGGAGGGGCAGGGACTGATCAACACAAAGATGGGCACAGGATATAAGTGACTCCTTGAGTATGAAAGTACATGCAGCGGGACAGCTGAGTTTCTTTCAGGCAGACCGTGATGAGAGCGACGTTCTGCAAAGGACCTGCTACATGATGTTGATGAATTGTGTGGAACTATCAATTATTTACTGGGTGGTCTTAAATTTCTGCACTAGTGTCTTGGTAACCAAGGACACTAACCACTGAACCACTGTGATCCTGAAACATAAGAGGTTATTGATAGAATAGTAAAATTGTATGTTGATATTTAGACATAGTGGTAATCATCATGTTCCACTTTTTGTTTCAAGCATCCTGGGGAGAAAGAGTGTGATCCATTGCTCAAATTGTCACGTCCTCTGGATATAGAATGTCTTTAATGTCATCAGTCCATATTCTCTTTGGGTATTCTCTTGTTTTCACGTCAGAACTCTTTTTGTGTAATATCTTTGTTGGTAGTTGTTGTGTAATATCTTTGTGGGTAGTTGTTGTGTAATATCTTTGTGGGTAGTTGTTGTGTAATATCTTTGTGGGTAGTTGTTGTGTAATATCTTTGTCTGTAGTTGTTGTGTAATATCTTTGTGGGTAGTTGTTGTGTAATATCTTTGTGGGTAGTTGTTGTGGCTGCATTCTAAAGTGATGACCCAGTCATTTGATCTTATGCTTCTCAGTCAATTTGATGCACAGATGCACAGTGGTGTTGCCGCAGATGCACAGTGGTGTTGCCCCAGATGCACAGTGGTGTTGCCACAAATGCACAGTGGTGTTGCTGCAGATGCACAGTGGTGTTTCCCCAGATGCACAGTGGTGTTGCCACAGTGGTGTTGACACAGTGGTGTTGCCACAGATGCGCAGTGGTGTTGCCACAGTGGTGTTGACACAGTCTGTCTGATAGTAACATTTCTCACATGGTCTTGAATGGTTTTCTTGGCAGCTTTCTTATCTCACAAGTGTATATTTTATGTAGGTCTGCCTTTGATCATTTTGAAGTTTTGCACTGGTAGCACAGTGTTGGTATGAATATGCTATTTACAATATATTTCATCGTGGTGATGCTTATGTTTGGACGTCTTAAAGACAGCATCAGTGGGTATATGTGTGCATTAACCCTTTGGTGTTTGCTTCTAATTTCTGTTTTCTTCTAATGAAACATAATTCTTCCTCTTTTCTGATGTCCAGGATTCTGCTGTGGCCAAACACTTTGTAGCTTTGTCAACAAACACTGTAAGTAGTTGATATTTTCATGGTTAATATTTCTGTGAATGTTGGGTAGCATGTACGAAAGCTGACATTCCATAATATTCTCTACGCTGGAGGAGCACTTTGGGGAAAATACTAATTGTATCTTTGAAAGAGGAAATGTAACCCAAAAGCAATGTTATGGTGAGGCAGACTAGGCCCTTAGCCTTTTTGGCAGCTGGTATAGAGAGAAGTTCTGAAAGATGGACAGATAGAACACTGCTCATTTGGCAGCTTCTGCAGCTTGCTTTCTTCCAAACATATTGTTGCCTTTGATGTAAAGTCAACAAGGCCGGCCAAAGGAAGGATCCTGCAGCACTGGCAACACATGGTCTCTACAATACCTCCCAGGCTTTGTGCTCTAGAGAGGAGGAACTCTATCCTTGGGCCCTAATATGACTTTTTCTCATGCTAGCGGTTCTTGCTAGTGGCACTCTCTATCATCACGGGTCCCCTTTCCAGTGGGTCTTGCTAGTGGCACTCTCTATCATCACGGGTCCTCATACCAGTGGGTCTTGCTAGTGGCACTCTCTATCATCACGGGTCCTCATGCCAGTGGGTCTTGCTAGTGGCACTCTCTATCATCACGGGTCCTCATGCCAGCGGTTCTTGCTAGTGGCACTCTCTATCATCACGGGTCCTCATGCCAGCGGGTCTTCTAGTGGCACTCTCTATCATCACAGGTCCTCATGCCAGCGGGTCTTGTAGTGGCACTCTCTATCATCACGGGTCCTCATGCCAGCGGGTCTTGCTAGTGGCACACTCTATCATCACAGGTCCTCATGCCAGCGGGTCTTCTAGTGGCACTCTCTATCATCACAGGTCCTCATGCCAGCGGGTCTTCTAGTGGCACTCTCTATCATCACGGGTCCTCATGCCAGCGGGTCTTCTAGTGGCACTCTCTATCATCACAGGTCCTCATGCCAGCGGGTCTTGCTAGTGGCACTCTCTATCATCACGGGTCCTCATGCCAGCGGGTCTTCTAGTGGCACTCTCTATCATCACAGGTCCTCATGCCAGCGGTTCTTGCTAGTGGCACTCTCTATCATCACAGGTCCTCATGCCAGCGGGTCTTCTAGTGGCACTCTCTATCATCACAGGTCCTCACACCAACGGGTCTTCTAGTGGCACTCTCTATCATCATGGGTCCTCATGCCAGCGGGTCTTTTAGTGGCACTCTTTATCATCACAGGTCCTCATGCCAGCGGTTCTTCTAGTAGCACTCTCTATCATCACGGGTCCTCATGCCAGCGGGTCTTGCTAGTGGCACTATCTATCATCACGGGTCCTCATTCCAGCGGGTCTTGCTAGTGGCACTCTCTATCATCACGGGTCCTCGTGCCAGCGGGTCTTGCTAGTGGCACTCTCTATCCTCACGGGTCCTCATACCAGCGGGTCTTGCTAGTGGCACTCTCTATCATCTCAGGTCCTCATGCCAGCGGGTCTTCTAGTGGCACTCTCTATCATCACAGGTCCTCATGCCAGCGGTTCTTCTAGTGGCACTCTCTATCATCACAGGTCCTCATGCCAGCGGTTCTTCTAGTGGCACTCTCTATCATCACGGGTCCTCATACCAGCGGTTCTTGCTAGTGGCACTCTCTATCATCACAGGTCCTCATGCCAGCGGGTCTTGCTAGTGGCACTCTCTATCATCACAGGTCCTCGCGCCAGCGGGTCTTCTAGTGGCACTCTCTATCATCACAGGTCCTCATGCCAGCGGGTCTTTTAGTGGCACTCTCTATCATCACAGGTCCTCATGCCAGCGGTTCTTCTAGTGGCACTCTCTATCATCACGGGTCCTCATACCAGCGGTTCTTGCTAGTGGCACTCTCTATCATCACAGGTCCTCATGCCAGCGGTTCTTCTAGTGGCACTCTCTATCATCACGGGTCCTCATACCAGCGGTTCTTGCTAGTGGCACTCTCTATCATCACAGGTCCTCATGCCAGCGGGTCTTGCTAGTGGCACTCTCTATCATCACAGGTCCTCGCGCCAGCGGGTCTTCTAGTGGCACTCTCTATCATCACAGGTCCTCATGCCAGCGGGTCTTTTAGTGGCACTCTCTATCATCACGGGTCCTCATGCCAGCGGGTCTTCTAGTGGCACTCTCTATCATCACGGGTCCTCGTGCCAGCAGGTCTTGCTAGTGGCACTCTCTATCATCACGGGTCCTCATACCAGCGGGTCTTCTAGTGGCACTCTCTATCATCTCAGGTCCTCATGCCAGCGGGTCTTCTAGTGGCACTCTCTATCATCACAGGTCCTCATGCCAGCGGTTCTTCTAGTGGCACTCTCTATCATCACGGGTCCTCATACCAGCGGTTCTTGCTAGTGGCACTCTCTATCATCACAGGTCCTCATGCCAGCGGGTCTTGCTAGTGGCACTCTCTATCATCACAGGTCCTCGCGCCAGCGGGTCTTCTAGTGGCACTCTCTATCATCACAGGTCCTCATGCCAGCGGGTCTTCTAGTGGCACTCTCTATCATCACGGGTCCTCATGCCAGCGGGTCTTCTAGTGGCACTCTCTATCATCACGGGTCCTCGTGCCAGCAGGTCTTGCTAGTGGCACTCTCTATCATCACGGGTCCTCATACCAGCGGGTCTTCTAGTGGCACTCTCTATCATCACAGGTCCTCATGCCAGCGGGTCTTGCTAGTGGCACTCTCTATCATCACAGGTCCTCATACCAGCGGGTCTTGCTAGTGGCACTCTCTATCATCACAGGTCCTCATACCAGCGGGTCTTGCTAGTGGCACTCTCTATCATCACAGGTCCTCATACCAGCGGGTCTTGCTAGTGGCACTCTCTATCATCACAGGTCCTCGTGCCATGGGTCTTGCTAGTGGCACTTTCTATCCCTACGGGCTGTGACTCCTATGCCTCCTCACAGTATCACACACGTATAACTTTATCCTGCGTAAAGGTGGAAAGTTGCTAAATTTGTTTCTTTGTATGTGGTTTCATTCTGTTCAGCTATACTTATCAATAATGGGGGAACCATTTGTTGCCTGAGCCTATCGGCTCAGACACCTCAAGCCTTGCCACAGCATGTAGACATTATAAGAATAACATCACTTATTATTGTTGTTTTTATTGTGCAGTTAAGCAGAGCATGATGTAATCTCTATAGCAGTGTGCCTGCTGGGGTCTCTCAGGGCATGACAGAATAGCACTGGAGCCTGGCATGCATGTCATAAGAGCTGTGTAAGGAGGGTTGGCGTTGTGTGGAAGGTAACATCCAGTCTTCGATGAACAGTTCCACAGATGACATGAATTGGTTCTCGCTTCAGTGAGATTGAAAGGCAGTGACATAAGCTATGTGAGCTATTTAAAAGAGCACAAAGGAAACTGCTTATAGTCACTGATGCAATTAAATTGTGAATTAACACACCACTGGACTAAGACATTAATGAAAACTAGTATCTAAGAAAGATAGCTGGATACCCACATCAGATTTTCTCGCCAAGACTCGCTCCGTTGCCTAGCTAGAGAAAAACAGTGCATCATATTCAGACAGGCTTCCGGTTAAAATGGACGCTAGACAGCGGCGCTGTTCGAAGCAGAGGCAAATTTTTTGCTTCTGCCGGACGGTGGCCGAAGTATTTTTGCTCCATTTGTAGACTGGATATAGTTTCGTCACCCAGCTTCTGAGTTGAATGCATGGCGTGACCCTGTGAGCTGCGGATTGCATTTGGAATGTATTTTCGACTGTGACCAACGTGGTGTGAATTGTAGATTCAGAAAATGGCGTGATGCCTGTCGTGCAATGTTGGCGGTGCCAGTATCTGGTTAAAATTGATCGCGTGGACAACTGCTGAACTTTTGGCGACAAGTTCTGCTATCATCAATGATGAACTGCATTTCTAATGTTGGACTGTTTGTGTTAGCACTTCAGATGGCTACCGTATGCTTTAATGCGAGTGTATGCTAGATATACTGAGACAGCAGTCTGTCAATCTTTCCACAAGGGACTGTGATAAACATTCTGAGTGTTTTTCGTTGGCACAGGTGCGGAGCAAAGATGGGGCGACCCGTTGCTATGAAGCTGAAGCTAAGACTACCAGACTACCAGATATTCAGACAAAGGATAGGGCGCAACAGACTCGGCCAACTTGTGTTCAAATGTTTCGGCGTAGGGAAGCCTGAGACCAGTCCCTGCAGCTTGGCACCTGAAAGTGCTGAGCATGTGCTCCAACACTGTCAACTGTCTGCTGCTAATTGAGAATCAGTCTGGCCTATTCAAATCTCAGTGAAGACAAAACTCAAGTGGCTACCAGGTTAGGTCCTGGGATTCCTGAAGTGGCTACCTGGTTAGGTCCTGGGATGCCTGAAGTGGCTACCTGGTTATGTCCTGGGATGCCTCAAGTGGCTACCAGGTTATGTCCTGGGATGCCTGAAGTGTCTATCCACTTCATGCTGGGATGCCTGAAGTGGCTCCCAGGTTATGTCTTGGGATGCCTGAAGTGGCTACCAGATTATGTGCTGGGATGTAAGTGCGACAGGTGTGTTAATGTACCCATTGAGTACCATCTCTATATTGAGTCTAGCCCTGTATGCCTGAGACATTACCAGGCTGCACTCTGAGATCATTTGAAAGATAAACACCCAGCAACTAAAAAAAAGTCACTATTTGGATAAGTAGTAGTAGATTTTTACCCGACTAAGAACATCACACAATAAACACCCGATGACACAAAATGCCACAATGTGGATGAGGATCACTCATGGAGTGGTCCCAGAAACTGCGTTCAACCATTAGACCATATTTATGGCTGGGCTATATTGCAGCCCCTGGCAAGAGCCAGGATGGGGCTTCAAATAACACAAAATTTAATCTTTCAAGGAGATGACTAGATTTATTTACTGTACTATTTGGATAAGAAAGCAAAAAGAGCAAATTGCAGAAACCCTGTTCAACCCTAAAGCAGTCTCATTCAGTGTTTACAGAGTGACATGTGGGCGGATATGGGTGAGTTGTGCTGTATAATTGTGTACATTGCAACAACTGTCATGTAATTCATCTCTTGCTTGGGCCTGTATGTCTATTGCAGGCAAAATGCAGGTGTTGTTGACAGTGATGGAGCAGAAAGGCTGGGTGACGCTGCTATCAAATCAGAAAGAAAACCATTTAATCAAGGGAGATAATGAATGCTCTTAAAAAAACTGGACAAAAACAAAAAACCCCCAACTGAATGTATCAGTGTCAGTACGTAAAATGCAGATCAAATGTTCGGATGATGATGGTGATGAACTTGTAAAAGTGATGCCAGATTTCCTTGAAATGTCAGATACAGATTTGTGGTGGTTTTCATTTGTATCTTGCCAAGTGGTGTTAATAAATTGTATTGTTTATATCTATAGTGGGTTGGTGGCCGCTACTCGCTGTGGTCTGCAATTGGATTGTCCATTGCTCTTATGATTGGTAAGCTGTTGGTATATCCATTGTTTAAATTAATGTGCTGTTTTATCTATTGTCTAGGGTAATGTGTTGTTGAATCCATTGTCTAGGGTAGTGTGTTGTTGTATCTATTGTCTAGGGTAATGTGTTGTTATATCTATTGTCTAGGGTAATGTGTTGTTGTATCCATTGTCTAGGGTAATGTGTTGTTGTATCGATTGTCTAGGGTAATGTGCTGTTGTATCCATTGTCTAGGGTAATGTGTTGTTGTATCCATTGTCTAGGGTAATGTGTTGTTGTATCTATTGTCTAGGGTAATGTGTTGTTGTATCCATTGTCTAGGGTAATGTGTTGTTGAATCCATTGTCTAGGGTAGTGTGTTGTTGTATCTATTGTCTAGGGTAATGTGTTGTTATATCTATTGTCTAGGGTAATGTGTTGTTGTATCCATTGTCTAGGGTAATGTGCTGTTGTATCCATTGTCTAGGGTAATGTGTTGTTGTATCCATTGTCTAGGGTAATGTGCTGTTGTATCTATTGTCTAGGGTAATGTGTTGTTGTATCCATTGTCTAGGGTAATGTGTTGTTGTATCCATTGTCTAGGGTAATGTGTTGTTGTACCCATTGTCTAGGGTAATATGTTGTTGTACCCATTGTCTAGGGTAATGTGTTGTTGTATCTATTGTCTAGGGTAATGTGTTGTTGTACCCATTGTCTAGGGTAATGTGCTGTTGTATCCATTGTCTAGGGTAATGTGTTGTTGTATCCATGTCTAGGGTAATGTGCTGTTGTATTCATTGTCTAGGGTAATGTGTTGTTGTATCCATTGTCTAGGGTAATGTGTTGTTGTATCCATTGGTTAGGGTAATGTGTTGTTGTATCCATTGTCTAGGGTAATGTGTTGTTGTATCTATTGTCTAGGGTAATCTGCTGTTATATTCATTGTCTAGGGTAATGTGTTGTTGTATCTATTGTCTAGGGTAATCTGCTGTTATATTCATTGTCTAGGGTAATGTGTTGTTGTATCCATTGTCTAGGGTAATGTGTTGTTGTATCCATTGTCTAGGGTAATGTGCTGTTGTATCCATTGGTTAGGGTAATGTGCTGTTGTATCCATTGTCTAGGCTAATGTGTTGTTGTATCCATTGTCTAGGGTAATGTGTTGTTGTATCCATTGTCTAGGGTAATGTGTTGTTGTATCTATTGTCTAGGCTAATGTGTTGTTGTATCTATTGTCTAGGGTAATCTGCTGTTATATTCATTGTCTAGGGTAATGTGTTGTTGTATCCATTGTCTAGGGTAATGTGTTGTTGTATCCATTGGTTAGGGTAATGTGTTGTTGTATCCATTGTCTAGGGTAATGTGTTGTTGTATCTATTGTCTAGGGTAATGTGTTGTTGTATCTATTGTCTAGGGTATTCTGCTGTTATATTCATTGACTAGGGTAATGTGTTGTTGTATTCATTGTCTAGGGTAATGTTTTGTTGCATCTATTGTCTAGGGTAATGTGTTGTTGTATCTATTGTCTAGGGTAATGTGTTGTTGTATCTATTGTCTAGGGTAATGTTTTGTTGCATCTATTGTCTAGGGTAATGTGTTGTTGTATCTATTGTCTAGGGTAATGTGTTGTTGTATCCATTGTCTAGGGTAATGTGTTGTTGTATCTATTGTCTGGGGTAATATGTTGTTGTATCCATTGTCTAAGGTAATGTGCTGTTGTTGACAACTTTGCATCTTTCCAGACAGGAATTTTGTATTGTACTTGAAGGAAATGACAGCAATAGTGCATGTGAGTAACAAGACCTGCTTGGGTTCCGAAAATCCTTCCACAATTACAGCCTGTCATTTTAGGACCATCGTTGCTGTTGAATGTGTTTACTGTGCTCCTTCTCAGTCACTCAGAACTTAACCTGTCTGCAATCACTTTCTCCTTTATCCCTATTCCTTTAAAAAAAAAGTCTTCTTCTATGTAAGAGTGTTGATGACATTCTGTGCCCACAAACAACCCTCACTAACTATCATTATGTTCCACTTGCACACATCTTTATGTTGTAGTATGGCCTGACCTCAGCATCTTCTTCCTATCCTTGGTAAGTTATTATAACCAGCATTGCCATCTTGAAGTTGTTATTATAACCAGCGGCACCATCTGAAAGTTGTTATTATAACCAGCGGCACCATCTTAAAGTTGTTATTATAACCAGCGGCACCATCTGAAAGTTGTTATTATAACCAGCAGCACCATGTGAAAGTTGTTATTATAACCAGCAGCACCATCTGAAAGTTGTTATTATTACCAGCAGCACCATCTGAAAGTTGTTATTATAACCAGCAGCACCATCTGAAAGTTGTTATTATAACCAGCAGCACCATCTGAAAGTTGTTATTATAACCAGCAGCACCATCTTGAAGTTGTTATTATAACCAGCAGCTGCCATCTTGAAGTTGTTATTATAACCAGCGCTGCCATCTTGAAGTTGTTATTATAACCAGCAGCACCATCTGAAAGTTGTTATTACAACCAACATTGACATCGTAAAGTTGTTATTACAATAGGAATAAACTCACAGGGAGCAAGTACAGCAGGGATCTACCAGTTGTCAGTAGAAATTATCCTCGTCAATGAGGTCACACTCAGATTCAAACCAAAGACCTTCAGGCCAGGAGAGGAGCATCTGGCTACTATACTGTTGCCAGTTCCTGTATACAGTAGACAAAGTAGAAGATGATGATGGTGAAGATGAAACAGAAAGAGAAGAAAAAGAAAATGATGATGGGAAGAAGAAGAAAAGATAAAATGAAGAAGAAAAAGATGTTGAAACGAGGAAGACAAAAATAAGGCTAACGAGAAAAAGAAAATAAGCAAGAGACAGGCATTCATTGAAATTAAAACAAACAAAAAATGAAACATGTTATTATAGTTGGCCTTTGTGAAATGTTGCAGGTATGGACAACTTTGAAGAACTTCTGGAGGGTGCTCACCACATGGACAAACATTTCCAGACAGCCCCGCCGGAGGCCAATGTAAGTTTCTTGTTTGTCTCTGAGTGATAGCACCTCAACGTCTTCATCATAGTAGAGATGGTAGACAGTTGTGTTTCCTTTGGCCTGACTTCTAGAACATCTCATGGGGAAATCAAGGAAGGGATAGATCAGTGAAGTCACTAGACTTCAAGCTTTATGTTCATCAGATGAACCATGTGCAGAGATCATGTTTCAGTTTTAAAAGTGTGAGAATATCATGGGCATAGTAGACAACCCATCTGGAACAGCTGGAAATTTATCTGGCAAATTAAGAGAATAAGGAGAACAGAGAACGTAGCTTATATGTGAAGAAATAATAGGTTAGAGAAGCGACGGAAAGCAGAACACAATACGCATGTGAAGATCATATGTAGGTTCATTAATTACTCATTTCAGTAACTCTAGCTAAGTAATTACTAATTGAGTAATGCTAGTTAATTAATATTAAGTGATTAAGGTTAATTAATCACTTATTACTTATGACTAAAAATGCTAATTAAGTTGTAGTGTTCATTAATTACAAATTACGTCGTACTAGTTAATTGTACTCATCAGGTTCTAGCTGTGGTCAAATGATTTTCTCTTGCAGTTGAATGACAAGAATTGCTTCGTTTCTGGTAAAGGATTACTTTAATTTTATTCTGATATCTCGACAAGTGCTCCTATCTCTTGACGTAGATTCTGAGAATCTCGGCACAGTAGGTAAACTCTGTAGCAGCAGCTAAGAACTGGAATAGGAAAGATCTTGAATGAAACACATATGTTGTGAGAAAGTCAGCAGCGACTTACAAGATACATGTCACAAACATTACAACAACAAGTAGGACGTTGCTTTCCTGTCCTAGTTGTTGGATATGTGGGGGTGCAGACGAGCTGCAAGACATGAACATTTTCTTAGGGGCACAAGATGATTAATTAACACATGTTACCCTTGTGGAGCTGTTGAGCAGGAGATTAGAGCATCTGTGGATCTGTTGAGCAGGAGATTAGATCATCTGTGGATCTGTCTGGAATGCTGTGGTAACAGTCCTCATTGTCATTGTCATGAGGATCTCATGGCAGGGCATGAACTCTGCAGCACAAGCCAAGAACAAGCATAAGAATATCTGCCATGGAATAATCTGATCATGTGGCTACTGTTGTTTCTCTGAGTTAACTGAGATCTTTATTTGTCTCACACAGATCCCAATGATTCTTGGTGCCCTTGGAATTTGGTATTCTAATTTCTACGGAGCTCAGTCATACACCATCCTACCGTATGATCAGGTCTGTACAGAATATGTTGTTCTCTATTATTCGTTGAAGGTAGTCCAGTAGCAGATACTGCAGTTGGGATGGGAAGTGATTGGGGTTAACAAATTCTAGGCTGTGACATTTGAGGTAGGATCACCCGTTCTTTGCCGTCTCTCTTTCCCACACAGTTCTGGACATGATCCATTTTATGTCAGCCCTGTTGATGTAATGGCTAGATCCTTACCTGCTAGCTGAAAAAGTCTTAGGTTCAAATCAGCATCAGGCCCTGCAGAATCGCAAACAGCCAGTGAATCTTAGGGTTGATAAACACATCCTGAAAAGGATATTTAACTATCTTTAAAAGTTCTTAACATTAAACACAAATTTCATTGCTTCCGTGGTTTCTTTAATTTTTTGTCAGTTTAATATTAATAAAAAAATAAAACACGCCACAAGCACTAGATTGCAAATGTTTTTGCCCGTCATATTTTGCTGTATCTTATCAGGCGCATTACAGCAACATATAATGAAGTACAAAACATGAAAATTGTCTATGAAAATACACCAATGACATTGTCTGTAGTTACACTGTTAACTAGATTGTAAGTGCACATGTTTAAAGTTTTTGTAAATACAGTTAATGAGAACAAAACATGCATGAAAATACACCAATGACATTGTCTGTACATTGTAAGTGCACATGTTTAAAGTTTTTGTAAATACAGTTAATGAGAACAAAACATGAAAATTGTCCATGAAAATACACCAATGACATTGTCTGTAGTTACACTGTTAACTAGATTGTACACTGTTAAAGTTTTTGTAAATTCACTTAATGATTTTAAGTTGCATGAAAATACACCAATGACATTGTCTGTAGTTACACTGTTAACTAGATTGTAAGTGCACATGTTTAAAATTTGTGTAAATACAGTTAATGAGAACCAAACATGTGACATTCAGGCTGACACAGGACCCTCATCTGACCTGTCATCTGCAAGCCATTATGTCTGTGGTACTTTGTGAAATAGTGTTTAGCTTATGTCTGTGGGACTTTGTGAAATAGTGCTTAGGATAAACAGCTAGTAAAGTTCATTATCATAATGACTACTCTGACACATTGTGACTATCACATTGAACATTTCTAATTTGGTGACTTAAAAAATGGTATTTACTGTCTGGTTGATCTTCTGTTCATGTTAATAATAGTCACTGCTGTTGCCATGGCAGGCAGCTGTGGTGGTGCCTTAGCTATACACCTAGCTGCCACCTCTGGAGTTTGGGTTCAATTCTACACTGGTCATGTTTTTGTAATTAAACTAGGGCTTCCATATTGATCTGCCCTAAAATTGGTACTGGCTTATATCCTGGCAAATAAAGGTGGCTGTCATGATGCTGAATCCCCCCCACCCCCACACCCAATCATTCCCCACTGAGTGAGTGTATAATAAAATGGGTCTAGCACCACATAGCCACAGCTCCAGTGGGGTGAACAGGTTATTGAATGAACTGTTACTGTTACAGTACCTGCACCGATTTCCAGCCTACTTCCAACAAGGAGACATGGAGAGTAACGGCAAGTACATCACTCGATCTGGGCAGAAAGTCGACTACACCACAGGTCCCATTGCTTGGGGCGAGCCGGGCACAAATGGCCAGCATGCTTTCTATCAGCTCATCCATCAGGGTAGGCATTCCCCATCCATTGTTTGTAGTTAGCTCTTTATTTCCTACACAGTGTTTCAGTCCTCCTCAATTATTTTCTTTATTATAATGATGGATCATAATATAATTGCATATGTGTCAGTTAATAGATATGTACAAACATTTACTAGTGAATAGATACAAACAGTTACTAGTGAACAGATACAACAGTTACCAGTAAACAGATACAACAGTTACCATTGAATAGATACAACAGTTACCATTGAATAGATACAACAGTTACCATTGAATAGATACAACAGATTACCAGCTGTGAACAGATACAAACAGTTTACCATTGAATAGATTACAACAGTTACTACCAGTAAACAGATACAACAGTTACCATTGATTTGTACAGGCAGACAACCAGTAAACATTGATACACAGGTTACAAATGAGTCTTGACAGTTACCATTGAAATAGATACAAACAGTTACCAGTAAACAGATACAACAGTTACCATGAGAATAGATACAACAGTTACCATTGAACAGATGACAACAGATTTGAGATGGAAACAACAGTTACCATTGAGATAGGAAATCAACAACAGTTACCATTGAATAGATACACAGTTACCAGTAACGTACAGATGTACATATGAACCAGTTACCAGTTACCATTGAATGATACAGTTACCAGTAAAAACATTGACCAACTTACCATTGAATAGATACAACAGTTACCATTGAATAGATACAACAGTTACCATTGAATAGATACAACAGTTACCATTGAATAGATACAACAGTTACCATTGAATAGATACAACAGTTACCAGTGAATAGATACAACAGTTACCATTGAATAGATACAACAGTTACCATTGAATAGATACAACAGTTACCAGTGAATAGATACAACAGTTACCAGTGAATAGATACAACAGTTACCAGTGAATAGATACAACAGTTACCAGTGAATAGATACAACAGTTACCATTGAATAGATACAACAGTTACCAGTGAATACAAGCTTTGTATCATTTCCTTCTACTGGAATAGTCTCTTCACTTACTGATTCAGTCTTTCTTCCCCTTCTTGGAGGTGTACAGATATACCTTGTGATTGCTTTATTGCAGTGTTATCAACTACCAAGGTCTTCCAGAAAGCTCACAGATAACTGAACCTGGATTTGTGTTGTGGAAGATGACAACTGCTACTGGGCCACACAGGCATGTTGATGAGTCTTGAGATGGACCTGCAGTTGATGAGTCTTGAGATGGACCTGCAGTTGTAGCTTTCTTCAACCCTCTTGACAGTCAATATTGACCACTTTGAGGACAGTGTAGGACAAGGGTAGGTCATGAGCCTGAGGATTTCGGGTCAAATGGCTAGTGCTGCCACCACAAACTGCGCAGGTTATTATTCCACATCCCCCAACCCCATAGCAGACACAATGTCTATCCCTTACCAAGGATCAAATCTGCGTCTATGCATGAGAGGCCAGGGCTCTTATCACTCAGCCAGCTGCTTCTCTTCATTAGGAAACCCTTTGAATAAACATTGTGTGCAGTGTCATGCCCTGTTGGTTCTGATATTCTGTCTACGCCATGCAACAGTGCCCTAATGAATTTCAAATTGGAGTTTGCTTGTTCCGCAAGTCGACATCTGTGGCTTAGGCATCGCAAACAGGCTTCATAATGCAGGGGTGCTGGGTTTGATCCCAGCTGCAGACAGTTTGTCTTGCATTGGTTTTGACAGTGGTACCTAGAGCCGACCCTTCAAAAAGCAGTGGCATACTACTGAATGTAAAATTGGACTAGAAAAACCACAACAGTAAAAAAAAAATGCTTGGGCTGGTTCCTGTAAAGGATACGCAACTAACTTTGTTCTGTAAATACAGTTCCCCTAACAGACTCTCATATTGGAGAATGTGGGCTTCAGACCCTTTTTTGGAAGGAAAAAAGACACTGCCCCCTAACAATACATCACAAGGGAATGAATTATTCATTTTGCTGAAATCAGATGTTTTGGACGAAAAGACACAGATTTTGCAGCCTAGCTGTCAATCACAAAACATTGTGCCGTTCACCCTGTTAAGAGTTAATGCAGAAGCAGATGAGTTGTCAGTGGAGACATCTTCTGGGTGAAGTTTATGAAAAGTACAGCACCTGATCAGGATTACTAGGATATTGCTAGGTGCAGCATGGCATTTGTTGCTTTTTCACACTTGTGGCAATATGATTATTTTGCAGGCACACATGTCATTCCCTGCGATTTCCTGATTGCTGTGGAAACTCACAACCCAGTTCAGGATGGACTCCACCACAGGGTAGGACAGTTTTGACCCACTATGTTCACACTGACACCCGCATGCATGTCAAGAGCCTGTGTGGCTATGGGACGACTGTAGGTGATGAGAGGGATTGACGGACTAGCACTTAGATTATGCTTAGCAAATACGAGTTTAACAGCACATGGACATTTTTTACTAGTACATCATGACGGATGAGTGAACACTTCAGGATTCACAGAGAATTTATTTACCCGAGGGTGAACGTGGACTGGACAAAAGGGAACAGGAAAGTGTTTTCTAGGCATTCGTTGACAGACTTGGACAAGACATGTTGTGTTTTGACTGCTAGGTTTTTCGGTAATTGATTAAAGTTTGTGATGGTTAGTTTGTGATTACATGTGACGGTATTATAATTTAAATGATAGTTAGGCAACATAATGTCTGTGTTACAGAGAGGTAGTCCATTGAGTTTAGTTAGGGCTGTTTTCACTCAGGTATTTGTCCTACATATTAGTGAGGGATTTGTTAGTTTAAAAAGAAGTATATAATAATGTCGTGGCGACAGCGTGGTGAGGTGGCCTGCCAAGTCACATCCGACAGAGCCATGCAGCCGCGCACTGGTCGTGATGCAGCTTGGAGAGGTGCAGGAAAGAGCTTGGATTGGAGTCTGTTGGTTCAGACCCGGTTAATTCTTGGAACAACTGGATGGCCAATGTATGAGTTGTGATTTGAAAGCACTTTGACCGGTTTGGAAAGGGTTGTGGTTCGAACCACCTCTGAGGCTAACTGGCTGCTGTTTTCTGTAACTACATTAAAGAGCAATGGGTCGTGTTCTGATAGTGTCCAGTTGGTTTGTGTTCTGATAGTGTACAGTTGGTTTGTGTTCTGACAGTGTCCAGTTTGTGTTCTGATAGTGTCCAGTTGGTTTGTGTTCTGATAGTGTCCAGTTTGTGTTCTGATAGTGTACAGTTTGTGTTCTGATAGTGTCCAGTTGGTTTGTGTTCTGATAGTGTCCAGTTGGTTTGTGTTCTGATAGTGTCCAGTTGGTTTGTGTTCTGATAGTGTCCAGTTTGTGTTCTGACAGTGTACAGTTTGTGTTCTGATAGTGTACAGTTTGTTTGTGTTCTGATAGTGTACAGTTTGTGTTCTGACAGTGTACAGTTTGTGTTCTGATAGTGTACAGTTTGTGTTCTGATAGTGTACAGTTGGTTTGTGTTCTGACAGTGTACAGTTTGTGTTCTGATAGTGTACAGTTTGTGTTCTGACAGTGTACAGTTTGTGTTCTGATAGTGTACAGTTGGTTTGTGTTCTGATAGTGTACAGTTGGTTTGTGTTCTGATAGTGTCCAGTTTGTGTTCTGATAGTGTCCAGTTGGTTTGTGTTCTGACAGTGTCCAGTTGGTTTGTGTTCTGACAGTGTCCAGTTGGTTTGTGTTCTGACAGTGTCCAGTTGGTTTGTGTTCTGACATTGTCCAGTTGGTTTGTGTTCTGACAGTGTCCAGTTGGTTTGTGTTCTGACAGTGTCCAGTTGGTTTGTGTTCAAGATGGATATCATTCTCATAGAGCTGCCAACAAGCTGTTACCATTAAGGTGTTAAGCAGGTTTATGACAATACACATGCCTAATTAGTTCTGTCTACCCACTATGCTCTTACATGCATGTGCTTGTGTGTTCTCATGCGTGCACATACACTTGCCGGCATGCACACACACACACACACACACACGTACGTTTTTTCTGTGTTCTAGCACATTCACACACACACACACATGCATGCATGCACGTACACGCGCGCACACACACACACGCACATTGACCCACAGGGGTGAAGAATTGTAATTATATTGTTGTCTGTTGTTGTAGATTCTTGTCTCCAACTTCCTAGCCCAGACTGAGGCTTTGATGAGGGGCAAGACTGGAGAGGAGGTGGAGCGGGAACTGCGGGCGGCAGGCATGAGTGAGGAGAATGTCAAACGCATCAAACCTCATAAGGTAAGCTCATGAATATGGGGCATTTCAACATGGAGGGCGAAGGGACAGAGAATGCCAATCAGTTAGATGGAAAATAGCAGAGAATGAATAAAATTGGGGCTGTCATACATTTTACAGAGAGAGAGAGACACACACACACACACACACACACAGAGAGAGAGAGAGAGAGACACACACAGAGAGAGAGAGAGAAAGAGACAGTGAGAGACACACACACACACAGAGACAGAGAGAGAAAGAGATACAGAGAAAAAAGAGAGACAGTAAGAGAGACAGAAAGACAGAGAGAGAGAAAGAGACACAGAGACACTGAGTGAGAAAGAGACACACAGAGACAGACAGACAGAGAAAGAGATAGATAAAAAGAGAGAGAGAGAGACAGAGAGAGAGAAAGAGACACAGAGAGAAAGAGACACAGAGAGAAAGAGACACAGAGAGAGACAGAGAGAGAAAGAGAAAGATAGAGAAAGAGACAGTGAGAGAACGAACGAACGAAGGAACGAACTTTATTTTCAAAGGGTTACAAATTAGGCACGCAGGCGAGAGAGAGAGAGAAAGAGAGAGAGAGAAGAGAGAGAGAGAGAGAGAGAGAGAGAGAGAGGAGAGAGAGAGAGAAATACTGATTGAGTGTCAGCTGACCATGGATTTGAACATTGGCTACTCGTCTGATCAGTTGAATGTTGATTGTTGAATTAAGAATTGACATCATTGCACTCAGGACACTCCCATAAGTGCTCAGTCCCCATCTTCACTGGCAGGTGAAGAGTTCCATTCCAATGGCACCAGTAACTGTCTGATTGTATATCTATTTCACCTTTCATAACGGTCTTGTCTCAGCTGACATAGTTACATTCACATATATTCAGATGATCATAATTGTGGCATTGTATTAACCTTGTGTAAAAGTGGATCTCAAATTTCTGAGTTCCCCTTGTACCTATCTAACACATGTATAACTGCTGGATAAGTTGACTGCAAGCTTTTGGGCGAAACTTTATGCTGCAATTTATGATAGTTTTTAGCAACAGCTTCTACTGCAGTTACCTCTATCCTTGACGCCCTTGTTGGAGTTACCTCTCTATCCTTGACGCCCTTGTTGGAGTTACCTCTCTATCCTTGACGCCCTTGTTGGAGTTACCTCTCTATCCTTGACGCCCTTGTTGGATGTAAGAGAGCTGAGTGTTATAGAGAATGTTTCTGTTAGCCTTGATTAACTATCTGCTTCCATGTCTCAGGTGTTTGAAGGGAATCGTCCCAGTAACTCCATTGTGTTTCAGAAACTGACACCATTCAACCTGGGAGCGCTTCTAGGTCAGTTTTCTTTATTTGAGAAAGATTGCATGATTGACTGTAGTTGTTTGGTATCAAGATTACATGATTGACTGTAGTTGTTTGGTATCACATGTCAATATAAAATAACTGATCTCAGAGTTGAGAGGTTATCTCTCATGGCTCTCTCTCTTTCTGCAGAATGGCTAGCCACCCATCAAAAGCGTCACATAAAGCACATGTTCCATAGCTTCTGCAGTGATCTCCAGGGATCTCTGTGAACAGATTAATAATGAGCTGAATGACAGAGAGGCAAACAGCTTGATAACTTCACCAGAGAAACTCCCTAGACAGTTTCTAATTTACAGGCATCCTCTTCTATGTGCCCCCCTTGGTGGCTGACTAAGGAAGCAAAGAAACGAAGCTCTGTAACCCATCAGGTGGGTCACCAGACCATGTGACACACTGTAACCCATGAGGTGGGTCATCACAGCATGTGACATGCTGTAACCCATCAGGTGGGTCATCAGACCATGTGACTGTAACCCATCAGGTGGGTCATCAGACCATGTGACATGCTGTAACCTATGAGGTGGGTCATCAGACCATGTGACATGAGGTGGGTCATCAGACCATGTGACACGCTGTAACCTATGAGGTGGGTCATCAGACCCCATGTGACCATGTGACATGCTGTAACCCATGAGGTGGGTCATCAGACCATGTGACATGCTGTAACCCATGAGATCAGACAATGTGACATGCTGTAACCCATTAGGGGGTCATCAGACCATGTGACAGGCTGTAACCCATTAGGGGGTCATCAGACCATGTGACAGGCTGTAACCCATTAGGGGGTCATCAGACAATGTGACATGCTGTAACCCATCAGGTGGGTCATCAGACAATGTGACATGCTGTAACCCATGAGGTGGGTCATCAGACCATGTGACATGCTGTAACCCATCAGGTGGGTCATCAGACCATGTGACATGCTGTAACCCATCAGGTGGGTCATCAGACCATGTGACATGCTGTAACCCATGAGGTGGGTCATCAGACCATGTGACATGCTGTAACCCATGAGGTGGGTCATCAGACCATGTGACATGCTGTAACCCATCAGGTGGGTCATCAGACCATGTGACATGCTGTAACCCATGAGGTGGGTCATCAGACCATGTGACATGCTGTAACCCATGAGGGTGGGTCATCAGACCATGTGACATGCTGTAACCCATCAGGTGGGTCATCAGACAATGTGACATGCTGTAACCCATAGACCATGTGACAGGCTGTAACCCATCAGGTGGGTCATCAGACATGTGACATGCTGTAACCCATGAGGGGGGTCATCAGACCATGTGACATGCTGTAACCCATGAGGTGGGTCATCAGACCATGTGACATGCTGTAACCATCATGTGACATGCTGTAACCCATGAGGTGGGTCATCAGACCATGTGACATGCTGTAACCCATCAGGTGGGTCATCAGACAATGTGACATGCTGTAACCCATTAGGGGGTCATCAGACCATGTGACAGGCTGTAACCCATTAGGGGGTCATCAGACCATGTGACAGGCTGTAACCCATGAGGGGGTCATCAGACCATGTGACATGGCTGTAACCCATTAGGGGGGTCATCAGACCATGTGACATGCTGTAACCCATAGGGGGTCATCAGACATAGTGAGGTGGGTCATCAGACCATGTGACAGGCTGTAACCCATTAGGGGTCATCAGACCATGTGACATGCTGTAACCCATCAGGTGGGTCATCAGACCCATGTGAGACCATGTGACATGCTGTAACCCATCAGGTGGGTCATCAGACCATGTGGGCTCAACCCATCAGACCATGTGACATGCTGTAACCCATCATCAGGTGGGTCATCAGACCATGTGACATGCTGTAACCCATGAGGTGGGTCATCAGACCATGTGACATGCTGTAACCCATGAGGTGGGTCATCAGACCATGTGACATGCTGTAACCCATCAGGTGGGTCATCAGACCATGTGACATGCTGTAACCCATCAGGTGGGTCATCAGACCATGTGACATGCTGTAACCCATGAGGTGGGTCATCAGACCATGTGACAGGCTGTAACCCATTAGGGGGTCATCAGACCATGTGACATGCTGTAACCCATTAGGGGGTCATCAGACCATGTGACAGGCTGTAACCCATTAGGGGGTCATCAGACCATGTGACATGCTGTAACCCATCAGGTGGGTCATCAGACAATGTGACATGCTGTAACCCATCAGGTGGGTCATCAGACCATGTGACAGGCTGTAACCCATTAGGGGGTCATCAGACCATGTGACATGCTGTAACCCATGAGGGGGGTCATCAGACCATGTGACATGCTGTAACCCATGAGGTGGGTCATCAGACCATGTGACATGCTGTAACCCATGAGGGGGGTCATCAGACCATGTGACATGCTGTAACCCATGAGGGGGGTCATCAGACCATGTGACATGAGGTGGGTCATCAGACCATGTGACAGGCTGTAACCCATTAGGGGGTCATCAGACCATGTGACATGCTGTAACCCATGAGGTGGGTCATCAGACCATGTGACAGGCTGTAACCCATTAGGGGGTCATCAGACCATGTGACATGCTGTAACCCATCAGGTGGGTCATCAGACAATGTGACATGCTGTAACCCATGAGGGGGGTCATCAGACCATGTGACACGCTGTAACCCATGAGGGGGGTCATCAGACCATGTGACATGCTGTAACCCATGAGGGGGGGTCATCAGACCATGTGACATGCTGTAACCCATGAGGGGGGTCATCAGACCATGTGACATACTGTATGTAACCCATCAGGAGGGTCATCAGACCATGTGACACACTGTATGTAACCCATCAGGAGGGTCATCAGACCATGTGACATGCTGTAACCTATGAGGGGGGTCATCAGACCATGTGACACGCTGTAACCCATGAGGTGGGTCATCAGACCATGTGACATGCTGTAACCCATCAGGTGGGTCATCAGACCATGTGACATGCTGTAACCCATGAGGGGGGTCATCAGACCATGTGACATGCTGTAACCCATCAGGTGTGTCATCAGACCATGTGACATGAGGTGGGTCATCAGACCGTGTGACATGAGGTGGGTCATCAGACCATGTGACATGAGGTGGGTCATCAGACCGTGTGACATGCTGTTACCCATCAGGTGGGTCATCAGACCATGTGACAGGCTGTAACCCATGAGGGGGGTCATCAGACCATGTGACATGCTGTAACCCATGAGGTGGGTCATCAGACCATGTGACATGCTGTAACCCATGAGTCCCAGGGGGTTTAGCATCATAGGCGCAAGGGGTGCTCATGCAATTTTTTTAATTTCACACTGTAACACATTAAAACACCATACTAATTCAGCTGCTGCCCAATATACACATACCTTAAAGTGACCAGGGATTGTTGGGGGAAAAAAATAGAATGCTACTACAACAAATAATTGCCTTAGTAATTGAATATAAGTAAATGAACAGACAGTATATTTACAGAAATTGGTATAATAAATAATTTGTCCACTTACAATCAAGGAAAACTCATTGAAATAAATCCAAAATAAATCACAAACGAACATGAACCACTTAGTAATGTATCAGTGAAATATACACTCAATCTGTACATTAGATTGTGTTCTAGAGAATCTTTTGAAGCATCATAACAGAGCACCATTTTTGTGGTAAAGAAAACCGACTTCCCAAAACAATTAGTATCTTCACACAAAATGAAGTCTATAAAACCCTGTTTGCTTGTAATTTTGTAGCCATGTGCCTAATTAATAAGGGGAGTAACACTAGAACTAACTGATACTCAAGAAAAAAGTCTTTTCATTTTTGTTTATTCTATTTGTGCCAGCTGACTTTGCTATCGTTGTACTCTTCGCGTGAGGTGAACATTAGACTTTACCCTCATCAAGTTTGACTCTATAAATGACTGAAAGTCTACTTGGCAATGTTATCTAACTTTGGATAAATCTAATAAACACCCTCTTTATTTAGATTTGAGATTTCTGAAGTCTAAATCATGTCGGCTTGCATGTAGAATAATGCTTTGTGGCCATATTGTTTTCAAACAAATACTTAGTAACTCGGTAAACCCTGCAAATATACTATATTTTCAGCTTTTAAACCACTTTTCCAAATGAGTACTCCTGATATTAAATAGAAAGAACTCAAAAAAGGAAGCTGAAATTGAGCCAGCATGAGTGAAGCCAGCATGAGTGAAGCCAGCATGAGTGAAGCCTGCATGAGTGAAGCCAGCATGAGTGAAGCCTGCATGAGTGAAGCCAGCATGAGTGAAGCCAGCATGAGTGAAGCCTACATGAGTGAAGCCAGCATGAGTGAAGCCTGCATGAGTGAAGCCAGCATGAGTGAAGCCGACATGAGTGAAGCCAGCATGAGTGAAGCCGACATGAGTGAAGCCAGCATGAGTGAAGCCAGCATGAGTGAAGCCGACATGAGTGAAGCCGACATGAGTGAAGCTAGCATGAGTGAAGCCTGCATGAGTGAAGCCGACATGAGTGAAGCCAGCATGAGTGAAGCCAGCATGAGTGAAGCCGACATGAGTGAAGCCAGCATGAGTGAAGCCAGCATGAGTGAAAGAGAAGCCAGCATGAGTGAAGCCAGCATGAGTGAAAGTGAAGCCTGCATGAGTGAAGCCGACATGAGTGAAGCCAGCATGAGTGAAGCCAGCGTGAGTGAAGCCAACTTGAGTGAAGCCAGCATGAGTGAAGCCAGCATGAGTGAAGCCAGCATGAGTGAAGCCAGCATGAGTGAAAGTGAAGCCAGCATGAGTGAAGCCAGCATGAGTGAAGCCGACATGAGTGAAGCCAGCATGAGTGAAGCCGACATGAGTGAAGCCTGCATGAGTGAAGCCAGCATGAGTGAAGCCAACATGAGTGAAGCCAGCATGAGTGAAGCCGACATGAGTGAAGCCTGCATGAGTGAAGCCAGCATGAGTGAAGCCAGCATGAGTGAAGCCAGCATGAGTGAAGCCGACATGAGTGAAGCCAGCATGAGTGAAGCCAGCATGAGTGAAAGTGAAGCCAGCGTGAGTGAAGCCAGCGTGAGTGAAGCCAGCATGAGTGAAGCCAGCGTGAGTGAAAGTGAAGCCTGCATGAGTGAAGCCAGCGTGAGTGAAGCCAGCATGAGTGAAGCCAGCATGGGTGAAGCAAGCATGAGTAAAGCCAGCATGAGTGAAGCCAGCATGAGTGAAGCCAGCATGAGTGAAGCCAGCATGGGTGAAGCCAGCATGAGTGAAGCCAGCATGAGTGAAGCCGACATGAGTGAAGCCTGCATGAGTGAAGCTAGCATGAGTGAAGCCAGCATGAGTGAAAGTGAAGCCAGCATGAGTGAAGCCAGCGTGAGTGAAGCCAGCATGAGTGAAGCCAGCATGAGTGAAGCCAGCATGAGTGAAAGTGAAGCCAGCATGAGTGAAGCCAGCGTGAGTGAAGCCAGCATGAGTGAAGCCGACATGAGTGAAGCCAGCATGAGTGAAAGTGAAGCCAGCATGAGTGAAGCCAGCATGAGTGAAGCTAGCATGAGTGAAGCCGACATGAGTGAAGCCAGCATGAGTGAAGCCAGCATGAGTGAAGCCAGCATGAGTGAAAGTGAAGCCAGCATGAGTGAAGCCAGCGTGAGTGAAGCCAGCATGAGTGAAGCCGACATGAGTGAAGCCAGCATGAGTGAAGGTGAAGCCTGCATGAGTGAAGGTGAAGCCTGCATGAGTGAAGCCAGCATAAGTGAAGCCAGCATGAGTGAAGGTGAAGCCTGCATGAGTGAAGCCTGCATGAGTGAAGCCAGCATGAGTGAAGCCAGCATGAGTGAAGGTGAAGCCTGCATGAGTGAAGCCAGCATGAGTGAAGCCAGCATGAGTGAAGCCAGCATGAGTGAAGGTGAAGCCAGCATGAGTGAAGCCAGCATGAGTGAAGCCAGCATGAGTGAAGCCAGCATGAGTGAAGGTGAAGCCAGCATGAGTGAAGCCAGCATGAGTGAAGGTGAAGCCAGCATGAGTGAAGCCAGCATGAGTGAAGGTGAAGCCAGCATGAGTGAAGCCAGCATGAGTGAAGCCAGCATGAGTGAAGCCAGCATGAGTGAAGGTGAAGCCAGCATGAGTGAAGCCAGCATGAGTGAAGCCAGCATGAGTGAAGCCAGCATGGGTGAAAGTGAAGCCAGCATGAGTGAAGCCAGCGTGAGTGAAGCCAGCATGAGTGAAGCCAGCATGAGTGAAGGTGAAGCCTGCATGAGTGAAGGTGAAGCCTGCATGAGTGAAGCCTGCATGAGTGAAGGTGAAGCCTGCATGAGTGAAGCCTGCATGAGTGAAGCCAGCATGAGTGAAGCAATGTTTGTCAAACTTCTGCTAATATTCCTGTATCATTTTTGTTGTTGCTTTCTACAGAGTAGTCAGATCTGTCTGTGAAAACTGTAACCGCTGATTTATTGTTTCACTTTATAGCAATGTACGAAATGAAGATCTTTGTCCAAGGTGTTGTATGGGATATCAACTCTTTTGATCAATGGGGGTGAGTTAGTTTTAACTTCAAGTTTATCCTTAACCATTTAAGATAGAACACATCTTGGGCACAATTGGGATGAGTCACTGTCAACTTCAAGTTTATCCTTAGCCATTGAAGAAAGCTCACATTTTAGGCCCAATTGGGACGAGTCACTGTTAACTTGTAGTTTATCTTTAGCCATTGAAGAAAGCACACATTTTAGTCCCAATTGGGACAAGTCACTGTTAACTTGCAGTTTATCCTTAGCCATTGAAAAAAGCGCACATCTTGGGCACAACTGGGACGAGTCACTGTTAACTTGTAGTTTATCCTTAGCCATTGAAGAAAGCACACATCTTGGGCACAGTGGGGGCGAGTCACTGTTAACTTGTAGGTTATCCTTAGCCATTGAAGAAAGCACACATCTTGGGCACAGTGGGGGCGAGTCACTGTTAACTTGTAGGTTATCCTTAGCCATTGAAGAAAGCACACATCTTGGGCACAGTGGGGGCGAGTCACTGTTAACTTGTAGGTTATCCTTAGCCATTGAAGAAAGCACACATCTTGGGCACAGTGGGGGCGAGTCACTGTTAACTTGTAGTTTATCCTTAGCCATTGAAGAAAGCACACATCTTGGGCACAGTGGGGGCGAGTCACTGTTTACTTGTAGTTTATCCTTAGCCATTGAAGAAAGCACACATCTTGGGCACAGTGGGGGCGAGTCACTGTTAACTTGTTGTTTATTCTTAGCCATTGAAGAAAGCACACATCTTGGGCACAGTGGGGGCGAGTCACTGTTAACTTGTAGGTTATCCTTAGCCATTGAAGAAAGCACACATCTTGGGCACAGTGGGGGTGAGTCACTGTTAACTTGTTGTTTATTCTTAGCCATTGAAGAAAGCACACATCTTGGGCACAGTGGACCAGAATTAACATGAAGTCACAGAGTTTAGTCAGTATCATCATCATCAAGTGCCTTCCTAACTGACTTTGGCATTCATTGTTCTCCACATCTGGCAAGCTTCTTTTTTCACCACCTCCTCCAGCCTCTTCTTATTTTTCTTCTCCTCCTCTTCCTATTCTTTCTTTGTCATCATCCTCATCCTTATCCTTTTCTACCTCCTCCTCTTCTTCATCCTTAAAAGGGTGATGAGCATACTAGGTTGTGGTGTACAGAAAGCGGAGCAAAATATTTATGCCTTGCAACCCAATACTTATGATTTCGACAAACCCATAATTGAGGATTCAAACCTGGGTCTCTGAAATGATGTACCAGTCTTCTAGCTGCTGCTCTCATAGACCATTGAGACCGTGAGAGTCGATCACTACTGCTGGCAGAGTGCCGACAGAATCCCAGCAGAGTGTGAGTGCAGGATTCACCTTAGGGAACACTGATGGTGTGCACAAACAGCCAAGCCACTTTGCAAGGTGTTTTGGCTCTGAATATTTACTACTTTTCAGGTGGCTAGAGGCTGTTTTTGATTGATGTGCTATGCATGTTTGACTAGAGGAATTACAGACAGAGCTATTCTTTTTTTTATGGATGTGTTATGTATGTTTGACTAGAGGAGTTAGAGACAGAGCTATTGTTTTTTTATTGATGTGTTATGTATGTTTGACTAGAGGAGTTAGAGACAGAGCTATTTGTTTAACTGATGTGTTATGTATGTTTGACTAGAGGAGTTAGAGACAGAGCTATTTGTTTAACTGATGTGTTATGTATGTTTGACTAGAGGAGTTAGAGAAGAGCTATTTGTTTAACTGATGTGTTATGCATGTTAATTTTGGGTGGTGCAGAGCACTGTGACCTTTGACTGTTAGTCCAGTGGTCATATGTTTGAATCGTCATCGAGGAATCGAACCATTTGAATGGGCTACCAGGTCTACCCAGCCTAAAATGGCTACTAGGAAAGGTAAAGACTGCTGACAGGATCAGGTCACATGACCCATCAAGTGGTGATCATTCTCTACAGTTATCAAGTGAGCACTGCCTACCCAGCATGCACCAAGGCATGGGAAAGAGCTGGTTTTTGTTCTGCAAGTATTCAAGATAATCATATTATCACCTTCATGTAATCTACCGACTGCAGTTTGTAAAGCTACTCTTGAACTTTCAACAGGGTTGAACTGGGCAAAGTTTTGGCCTCAGCAATTCTGCCAGAGTTGTCCTCGGCGGAGGAAGTCAAATCACATGACAGTTCCACAAATGGACTCCTCAACTACATCAAGGCAAGCTCCAAGTGATGACCTGTGTCCAAGTGATGACCTGTGTCCAAGTGATGACCTGTGTCCAAGTGTCCACAGTCTTCATTATGTTGGCTGTCTGTGTTTTCCTATCACATTACTCAACATGTTCCGGGGATTTGATAAAACTGCATCATTTTTTTCTATCACATTAATTAGTGATCAGGGGATATGATAAAACTGCATCATTTTTCTATCACATTACTTAGTGATCAAGAGATTTCATAGAACTGCATAGTTTGTTGGGATTTCTTTTTGTATCTTTTTTTTTAAATGTCTTTTAGTGTAGTTTCAAAAGTTATGTTCTGGAAAATTAATTATCTGGCAAAAAGTACCGGGAATGAAATACTTATTTCAACAAACATGACCTAGTAAGTTGAGTGTCAGTAAAGGTCCATCTTCATGCACACCAGGCATATGGGGCTAAACCCCTATTTTTACTGACCAGTTAGCACCAGAGGTCATATAAGTTGACCACCTTTACTTCCCAAAACATTTTGATCCCCATTTTTAACCTGGTGGGCATTGGAGCCTTAGCTCAGTCATAAAAATCTGCCTTCATGTGAATTTGAACCCAAGATCTTTGGCTGACAGATGAGCATTTAGCCACTGCAACATTGGAGCTCCCATTTATGATACAGACCACACATTGTGATTGGTAGTCAACCCTAAAGCAAAGTGGCCCAGTAACAGGATGAGGCAACATTAACTGATGTAGTGACACCATATTAAACACACCAGTGGTTGAGGGCAGTGATCTTCAACTGCTGGGTTGCAACCCACTGGTGGGCCCACGCAATAATCAGGTCACGGGTTAGGCTTGGTCATGTCTGTCTTTCAGGATTACAGTGTGTGAGATTGAACAGTTCAGTGATGAGAATCAAGCAGTAGAGCATCAGCTGACAGTTGTCATTTTGTGACATGGGATTGAACAAATCAAGATGTGTGTTTGTTTGCAAATTGGTTAGCTAACAGGCGGGCTGTGAAACAGTTTTCCCTGCTTTGGTGGGGTGTGGATCTGGGACAGGCAGAGAGATTGGCTGGATCTGCACCACTGGGTGGTGAATGTGATACATGACAGGGCAGACGTGGTCAAGGCCTTTTGGGAACAAGCAACGGAATTAGTAGAGAAACAAGATTATTATGGCCTGGAGAGAATAGGCACCTGAGTGTAACCAGAGGGTCTGGCCGGCTGACTGAACTCAGAGGAAAGGCAAGATGGACATTTAACCAGATTGTGACTGGTACCATCAGTATTGGAACTGTGCGCTGACTGCTGAAGATGAGGACTGAGCATGCATGAGAATGCCCCGAGTGCTGTGATGTCAGTTCTTGACTCATCTCCACTCAACTGGTGTCATGTCCCTTCTGGGCACTGACCTGTGTGTTCTCAGGACAACCACTGACCACTGTGCTAACCTAACTTCTGTGAAAGGTCAGTAAAGGACCCTGTCACACGCCCTCAGGCATATTTGGCATGTAGGTTCAGACCTTATAGAACAATCGGCTCTTGGTGGGGATATGGTCAGCATCATGCCGGCCGCCTTTACTTCTCAGGACTCCCCTGGTACCCATTTGAGGCTGGGTCAACCTGGGTGCCAAGGTCATTTTAGAAACATCTCCAGCTTTATCATGTCCTTTGGATTCAAATGCGAGCCTTTAGCCACTACACCAGGGCAGCTGCCACCATGACTTGTAGCTTTAGTTAAATTGTTTAGTTTCAAATCTTGACAAACTGACCATTCTTTTAGCATGCAGAGTCTGAGATCATTGTCTCCTGTTTTCATTGCTGACTGAGACACTGGTTCATGGTAAGCAATCATTTGTTGGGTTCAAATTGATTGTTGGGTAATTTACAGATTGTTCTTCTTTGCCTTGTTTCACATCGTTCTGTAACTGTTTGTGTATTAGGCAGTAGTTTTGGGGAGCATCATGACAGTAAGGCAGCCATGCTAGCCTCGTGGCTAGATAATGCCTGCCGGCTCGAAGCTCTTTGGTTCAGATCCGCAGCGAGGCAACAGTTTTTGTTTGTTCAACACTGACATTAGCACCCAACCAGTGCATCCTGTGGGAGTGTCTTGAAGAACATTGTGCATCCTGTGGGAGTGTCTTGAAGAACATTGTGCATACTCTGAACACTTGGCTGAAACCTGCAGTCCCCTCCCATTTTCCAAGGTATGCTGAGAACCTCATAGTTTATAATAATCGAATAGAAAACTTATAATGTGTCAATAATAGAATGGCACAGAAAACAGACTGCTTTCTAAAGTTGAGGGGTGTTGGTTTGCCCCTAGGGGATCTGCGCACCACATAAAGGGGGAAAAGCTGCTTTAAAATTTATGATTTTCACATCTTCTTGCTTTCTTTTTTTGTTTTGTTTTTATTTCTAGAAAATGTGAATTAATTATGTCAGTTTTGCTGAACATTTACTGTCCTCTTTTGGGCCCTGATATACCAGTAGTTTGATTTTTGTGTTGAAGTTGTTTCATTTGTTTTAATTTCCTCTATAGATCTTATAGACCGCAAAAAACTGTTTTTTTTTGTCTGTAATATTGTGCAACAGTATGCGCTTGGCCCAGCCATGGAAGATGTCATGAACTGAAACATTTGTGCCTAGTCAGTCTCTGTTGTCTTTGGCACACATTTGCTGCTGCCTGATATTCTTCTGGCAAAGTCCACTGGTGCACATGCTTCGAATGAAAGAAGCCTAATAACTACTCTTTGAGCTTCCTTGATGAGTTGAGGTCAACCAAGCCATTTCTTCAACATTCAGAAACAGAACTTAGGCATCACTGGATGAGGAGCATGTACTCCTTTATTGGTTAGTCATTACTCATCGCATCAGTATGACTGATTATGTTCAACATTTGCACCAGTATGACATGATCATGTTCAACATTCACACCAGTATGAGATGAGCATGTTCTACATTTGCACCAGTATGAGATGATCATGTTCAACATTTGCATCAGTATGACATGATCATGTTCAACATTCACACCAGTATGAGATGATCATGTTCAACATTTGCATCAGTATGACATGATCATGTTCAACATTCACACCAGTAGGAGATGATCATGTTCAACATTTGCATCAGTATGACATGATCATGTTCAACATTCGCACCAGTATGACATGATCATGTTCAACATTGACATCAGTATGACATGATCATGTTCAAGACATGAAATTTCACACCCTGCGACACAAATGGGTTTAGGATCAATGCTCCTAAAATAATTTATAAAATATTAAAATAGGACAAAAGGATTGCATTCTAAAGTTAAATTCTTTAAAAAAAACAAAATTACATGATGTGCCCCATGGGAGAGCTGAAATCTACCTGATGTGAAAGAGACTCACTATAACTAATGTGTGGAAGATTGCAAAAACAGAGATGAGATGTAAAAGGAGAGCTGCTGGTCTGACAATAAGAGATAAAATCAGGAATGAAGAAATTAGAAGAAGACTAGGGCCGAAACCAGTCATACAGTTCATTAAAGAACAACAAGTGAGATGGTTTGGCCACCTGACGAGAATGCCCTGGTACCAACTGCCACAGAGAGCCACAATGAAGAAATATAATGAACACAGAGCAAGGGGAAGACCACACAAGAGATGGAGGAATATCATCTAGAGCAACCTAACAGAAATTAACACCAGCTTGTACAATGCATTGAAACAAGTGCACAAACAATCCTTACATCTCCCCCGAACACCTCGCTCAGGTAGATGGGGGAAGAGAAGAGAAAGAGACAATCGAGGTGATTTATTTGCTCAAGTGGGATCTTTTGGGAGCTTCACTGACAAATACTGCTATAGTTACCTTATAAATCACGCACAGAAGTTACAGACAGGATTGGTGTTTTGTGGATATTAATGTATGGAATTAATGACTTATGATGGTCACATTTGATGACATTTATTGATCTCATCTGTTGGCAGGATTTGATAGAAATGATCTCATCTGTTGGCAGGATTTGATAGGAGTGATCTCATCTGTTGGCAGGATTTGATAGGAGTGATCTCATCTGTTGGCAGGATTCGATAGGAGTGATCTCATCTGTTGGCAGGATTTGATAGGAGTGATCTCATCTGTTGGCAGGATTTGATAGGAGTAGTCTCATCTGTTAGCAGGATTTGATAGGAGTGATCTTATCTGTTGGCAGGGTTTGATAGGAGTGATCTCATCTGTTGGCAGGATTTGATAGGAGTGATCTCATCTGTTGGCAGGATTTGATAGGAGTGATCTCATCTGTTGGCAGGATTTGATAGGAGTGATCTCATCTGTTGGTACAGGAAAGAGGTTGGGAAACTGGTGAAGAATAGAAAGACTTGCTCAGTATCCTGTGATGAGGGTTTCATTCTGCAAACAATTTGCTATACAATGATTGCGATGATGAGATAAGATACTGATATCTACAGCCACTGATTGCCATGATGAGATGAGATACTGACATCTACAGCCACTGATTGCGATGATGAAATAAGATACTGATATCTACAGCCACTGATTGCCATTTGGTGGGGAAAACAAGATTTCAATACTTCAGATATAAATACTGCAGACACAAACATGTTTGAAATTGATACTTGCATGAATAATCTTAAATGTCCAGCGGTAACTAGATGAATAATTTGTGTATTTTAGCTACAAGGATCCATTTTTGTGCTTCATTATTTGTTGATGTAATTCTCTAGTAACGAACGAGATACCGTGAGATCTGCCAGGCAACAAATTGTGCGGTGCATTGTTTTTGTCAGCAAGTTTGTTGAAAGCATTGTTTTCAATATCATTTTTGTCACAAAAGCAAAGAAAACAGAATCTTTTGCATTTATCTTCTACAGTTAAATGTGTCTTTTTGTTTCACGAATGTCATTAGACAAATATAATTGTGTCTTGTCTCATGTGACTTCAGTTACTGATTACTGATTTCATTGTCCAGTCGCCTGTTTGCATTAGTTTGTATGTGTCATGTCACGGTCATGTTATGCCA